TTGTTTAGATTGATTTTCCCATATATAATTTGTTGTTTTGATATTTAATTATTCTTTTGGTTGACAAATGAGAATTTTACATGTATACCAGTAATTTTACATATTTCTTCTTTTAATATAAAAATGTCAGTTGAATATATTTTAAATAGCAAATCTGTTGTTTTGCTCCCAGATAAAATTCACAATGATTAATGATTTTCAAAGTTATTTGATCAAACTAAAACAATATAAAATGTTAGAGCTGAGAATGGTAATTTAAACTTTCGAAGCTATTTTCAATATGTCTAACTATCTTTGGGCTATTCTGATGTTTTTAGAATTTTGAAAGTTAAAGCAGAAATTGAATTTTTTTCTGGATTTATTAATGTTAGCAGCCATCACTAGGACAATATTGGGTGTTATGAGATATCATGTGTGAAAATTGAGGGCCTGACCACTGAGAAACACTACAGAAATAGTGTAGGAGATTAAAAACTAAAGTTATAGTGTTAGATGTAGATATACATAAAGGTGTGTTAAACACAAGTTAAGTGTATATGTTTATAGGTATGAAAATTGATCACATATAAGTAGAGAAACAGATAACTTAGGAAGATGGATAAGCAGCCACATTCTTTGGTGGGTACCACTCTTAATGGGAGTTCTTCATAGCAGCTCCTTTGCCATTACTCCAGGAAAATGTAACAGACCCTAGTTAGGCCAATTCAGAAAATCATTTTTAATTTGGGGGAGCATTATTCTTCCTACCACATGTATAAATGAATAAACATGATTTGAAAAAAGAGCAAGTAATTACTTTTTGGTAACTTCTGAAAATTTAAACTTAATAATACAATTGTTCATTTGGATTATCATAAATATGGTAAAATGTCTCACTACATGAATTGTAGCAACTATTTTGAGGGAAATTTGGTAAATTCCGTAAAAGTATAAATGCACATACCACTTCTGAGAATTTATGATGTCATGGCTAAAAGGTAGAAGAAAGGCAGAAATTTTGATCAAAGGAACTCTTCTGTTGCTAATAATTTTATAATAACAATAATAAGCCATCAAGTATGTGGAAAGGATGTGGAGAAGCCTGCATTCATATTTGCTGGTAAAAATGTAAAATGGTGAAGCCTTTTTGTAAAATAAATTTGCTGTGGCTGAAAATTTTAAACATAAAATATATGATCCAACAATTATATTTCTAAATATATCCCAAATAAAAACATACACCCAGACAAAAATTTGAATATTAATGTACATAATAATGTTGCTTACAATCACTAAAAGGTAAATAAAGTTCTAATATATACATCATTATGAAAACACTAGTCAAAGTAAAAAGCCAGCATGAAGATTACATATTAGATGATTACATTGATATGAAATGTTAAATATAGGCAAATCTATAGGATAGAAAGTCAATTTAAGGTGCCTAGGGCTGGGCTGAGGGTATGTGGTGAGGAGTGAATGCTAAAGGAAATGGGAGCAGGGAGGTGTTTTAAAAAATTTTCTCTTTATATGCTACTTTGCATGAGGTACAAGTTTTTTATTTTATTTATTTTACCACTTTCTAAAATCTAACAGTTTTTCAGACTTCTATTCTTACGTATTCAGAGCCCTAAGATCAAGAATTTTCTACTTGAGTTTCTTCATTTCTATTTAATATCACATCGTCATTCCAAAAATTCTCTTATATCTCTATTGTGAAGCAGAGTTCCCAGAATTCACACATCTGAATGAGCCCGCTAATCTTTTTCAGAATTTGAAGGCAGACAAGTATCTACCTAAAAGTGACAAAGTCAGCTGCCAATCAGCAGAATCCCTAGGCTAAAGAAAAGCAAAGCAACTTTTTAGCCCAGTGGTGTTCTACATCTTGGCAAATCAGCGATTCTGTAGAATCCCCTGGAAGGACAGACCTGGGATGAAGACAATGAGTATGCGTCCTTCTTTCTGGTTCCAATTAGATCTCTACAACATGATTGGAAATCTATCCTATCTACATGTTTTTCCTGAATGATCAGGCTTGGTTTTGAACGAAATAAGCATGATATTCAGAAATGAAATCATTAAGAAAAAGTTCTTGAGAGGTTATATCTTATTATAACAATGGGTGGTACATTTCTACATCCTTGTACAAAGTTATCCAGAAGCAATCAAAGTTTTCATACTGATCATTTTGGACACAGAATAAATCAAAAACTTATATAAGGAAGGAAAAGAACTCCAATTTTAATAATATTATGTCTTTAAAAAATAATTTTGAAACTTTCAAACCTTGATCTCTTTCAAAGTTCTCATACTTTCATATAATTTCTAGAATAGAAAAGATTTGTAACTTTAATATTAATTATATTATTATGGCCAAACCTCAATATTAACTTGATATTTTTAAGCTATTTACCTTTATGTAAAAATAAGTAAAAATGTGGCCATCAGAATAAATCTTTCTTTTTAAATATATAACAGATCAAATTAATTTTATTTTCATTTTAAATTCTAATGTAGGTTAATTCATGGCATAATTTATAACTCATGAAAACTGCTGAAAATCAAGAACTAGCCATAATGATATAACAGATATGCAATCTAATCTTTATAACATAGAATGTATCTGATTAGTGCTGCTTTCAAAATTTGATTTATGATGCTGATATTTTAATTGATGGATCAATTGATAGTAATTATTTTGTGTAATCAGTTAACAACTAAAATGTGCAACATATTGATTCTTTCAGGTGAGACACAGGCTCCCTGAGCAGCCACAGTATGAGAGGGAAGTAGTGACATTTAATTCAGTTTAATTTATTCCTCAGAAAGAGGTGATTGACTGCAGTTCATGAATTCCATGGCAAGTGTTAGACTAAATGGTGAAATCACTCAGAAACACTAAAACTAGAAATTAAATTAGAACACGGAGTACTCAGCAATAAATCTCAGGTAATTCATATTAGCATTGCCATTACACTTGAGGAAAGTTACCTTAGAGGGACTACCTATATTGTGAGTATAAATAGGAGAAATTATGCTAAGCCTGCAAGAGAAAAAAAAAACAGACAAAGTTAAATGTGAAGAGTTTATATTATTTATAAAACTAAAAAGTCATATCATAGAGTTATGAAATTAATCCTAGGATTATAAAATTATTTTTACTAGCTATCTTTCTAATTAGTAGTGTGGTATATTGAGTGTTTACCAAAAAAAAGGTTCAAATCCATGTATAAAATATTTCCCAGAAAACCTGCTAGGGAGTCAAGCATTGTTGTTTAGGGATAAAATGAAAGAAAGAGTAGAGGTGATTCATCCATCCATCCTCCATGAAGATTGCAATCTAGAGGTAAAAGAAGAGAATCAGGCTCAAACAGTCATAAAAATAAACATATTGTTACAAATCTGGGATGAACTCTGGAAAGAACAATTTCAGGCTATAAAAAGATTGTAAAAATAAAGAACTAATCTTTACATTAATATTATATCAGCAAAACCTTTTTATAAATTATTATCTATTTCATTTTCATCTCTTTTATGCTAATAAGTTGACATTAGTGCACTTGGTAGATACAAAAAAAGTATGTATTTTAAATCTCTGATGTCAGTCCGTGCATCTTTTTTTAAAAGAAATATGTTTTTAGTCATTGATGGACCTTTATTTAATTTATTTATTTGTATGTGGTGCTGAGAATTGAACCCAGAGCCTCACACGTGCCAGGTAAACACTCTATCACTGAGCCACAATCTCAGCCTCAGTTAGTGCATCTTAAAATTAATCTTCTTTGCTAAGGTTTTATCTTTAAGACAATGTACAAAGTAAATATTTACTCAGAAAAGTTGTTGAGTATTTTTATTGCAGTAAGATTTTTATGTTAAAAAGATAATTCTCTCATGATTATATTAAGTGAAAATTCCAGAATCACTGTTTCCCAAAGAGTATATAGCATGCTAAAGACAATAATTCAAACGTTTAAAAAATATTTACTATGATTACATATAGCCTAATAGGAAAGTCTGATATAAAATAATTACATGAGCACATGGCAAATGTGCTCTACACCATCGCTAGCAAAAAAAGTCATTTGCTAGACCACCGCTTGGACTTTACAGCTGGGAGAATCATCAGCTTTATCTTGACTGGCTAAGGGCAACTGAGAAGACTATAGGAAATAATTCAGGTGTGGACGTAGCACTTAGGCGAAATCTAAGATGAAAGGAACAATCATGCACATAGAATGGTTTGAACCAGTTTCCCCAGTGAGGGAAGTATAGAGTCCTTAGAGAATATACTCACATTTGGTGTGAGAGAATTTAAAGCTTTTATTAGGTATCATTCTATGGTGAACTGGAAGAGCAAAGAGGAATTAGATTGCCTAGGGACTTTGAATGTAAAGTTAAGGAATTTCAATGTAGTTCAGAGGGAAATTTTCATTGTTTGTTATTTATTTAGAAAGAAAAAAAAATAAACTGGTAGTAATATTTATGAAAAAAATAGGGAATCCTCTGGGCATTTCTAAGGTATCAATTGGATAACTTCTAGAAATAAATACAAGTCCCCTTGAGAAATGCAATCAACCTAGAAATAACTCAAGTTCAAACAATTTTAACATCAAAATGCAAAATGGCCTCACTTTTGATCTTAGGCTCATAAGATTTGAAATAGTTGAAGAGGGACTGTGTTAGGCAAAAAGTTTAATCTTTTCTATAAGAGAATGTGCTTGTAGGCTTACAAAGGCCTACACCAAGTTTCTTACTACTTTAGAGACAATTATTTACCTTCTCAGAACCAGTACACAACAAGACCTTAGTAAATCACTCAAGGTTACACTCTGTGACTCAGATGTTTTCAACACATAAAATGACCATCTTATTTGCCTTCAGTAAACCTTGGATCAACGTGTGTGCACCTGCACGCGTGTATTCCCTCTTATTTTAAACCAAATTTCCTATTATCTCTGTGTAGGTTCTAAGAGCTTTTATTTACATTATTTTTTTTCTTTTTGTCTGTCTCTAAATCACAGATCTCAAGATCTGTCTCCAATGGCCTCCGTTGTTCCTTCTGTTATGATGCAAGTGACCAATTCCAGATGTTCTTCCCTCAGCCTCTCTCCAGCTGCGCCACCTGTCTGCCAGGAAAATGAGTGCCACAATGGAGGCACTTGCCACCCCCTCTTCCTGTCAAGCACTGTCATTTCCTTCCAGTGTGACTGTCCACTACATTTTACAGGCCGTTTCTGTGAAAAAGGTAATCACTTACACTTCTATATTCCTTTTGCAAACGTCTTAAGCCAGTAGAAGAGAATTGAAACACTTTGGAAGTCTACAGCAGGATACTAGCATAAGCAAGAAACATCTATAGTTTTATTTTAAAATGAATTCTCATAGAATACTTCCAGTTTAATACTTCAGAAGCAAACCTAAGCTTTTGTTTTGTTTTGTTTACATTAAGAATGCCTTCCATACACATTTTCAATTTCCACATAAAATAGGAGTTAAAATTCAGATATGGTGTTAGGTTATTTATGTTGTTACTTCTAAAATAATGTTGACTCCTTCCTTTGTTGCCATGGACATAATCAAGTTCCAATACTATTTACATTGCTTAATTGTTAATTAAATCACTGAGTTTTTGTATTTCATAAACAGATCCCCATCTTTAAAATATTTTGGTGTTAAAAAAGAGCACATTATTTTTTGGTGCCTAAGATTATAGTCTCAGTATTAGTGGAGCTATTTATGAATTTTTTTAAAAATCCCTATTGTCAACAGCTAATAGACTCCTAAGAGGTTTTCAGTTAATTAGATCAATGTTGGGCAAGTAAAATCGGAAACGCCTTGGGCACAGTACAAATGTATTAGGTCATTGTGTGCTACTCGGTCCTGCACTGATAGCTGAAAAGTGTCACTGTTGTCTATGTGAAGTTAATTAGTAGTTCTAAATTAGGGAGGTGGGAATGAGGATTATTACTAGATTATGACTTACATCACAGAGAGTTTCATTATTTATCCAAGATTATATTGAATAATTCCCTTTTAAATGCTAAAATGGGGGATGATGCTCTGAAGCTTATTCAAAGGTACCTATTTATGTTATCCAACTCCTCTTCCCAAGAGACCTTCGTCATGTGGAGGAATGTTTTAATATTTAGAGAAGTAAGCAAACAAATATAACAAAAAGCATAGAAATACAAAGTTTATTGTTGTGTTCATTTTAAAACATCATATAAATATTCTTAAAGTCTTTAACTGTAAAATATTTTTGAAGACACATTACACTGTGGCTTGACATTTGGGTGAACATTTCATGTTCTGAAAAATATCACAAGGTATGTCTTTTCTATAATTGAGACCAACTATGTTACATTCTATGAGTACAAGTAAAGGGAAAAAATATGAGTTGTAAAACTCTTTTAGCAACACAATTAGCCATTTGAAATACCTAGAGGACGTTTTCTTTAATTTTGCACTAAATAAAATCTTCTAATTTTCCTTCAAATATGCTTTCATATTTTAATGTCTGATTGTGCATTTACCTCCTCACAAGTATTAGACACAGAGTAACCTTCAAAGTGATTATTTCTTCCTACCCTAATATCGGTGATTCTTCATCCTTTAACTCCTCATTTAGTAGTTTTGACTCTTCTGAAAACAACCCACACTTTCCTCAAGAAGAACAGAAACTCAGGATTATCTAGAGTTAAACCTAAGGCTTGACTCAGGTTTAATTGTATTTGGTTTTTTGGGTAGCAGAATGTAGAAAACTGACCTCAGAAAAAGAATTGGAATTCTGCCCTATATTCATTCTTGGAATTTTTTTTCTATTTTATTAATCACTTTTTACCTTGTATATTTTAACTGTTTTTCCTGTTAAATTATAATATTTTAAGAACTACTATTGGGCGATACTGTTTTGCTAAACACCAGTATTCTACATAATAATCAGAATCTATGGCCAATATTTTATTAATAATTATTACTGGTTTAAAAGTGCATTTCTAAAACACACTTTAATTTGGTAACACACAAGGCACTTAATACGCAAAACAAAATTCATACATCAATATTATTTTTAGCCTATGAGTTATCATAGCTTATTGTCTGTAATTTTGCTATTTTTGCCTCTTTTTCTGGGGACCTGCTTCCATCTAACAATATAACAGTATAATGTGATGTGCATTTTCAAAATTAGAAATTATTTTTTTCTAAAATGAAAAATAGTATTTATTTTAATCATTTACTACTTACATTTGAAGAAAGTACCTGTCTTCTTTCAGTCATAAATAATACCAAGAGTAGGTTTGTGATTGTAACCTAAGGCCTAAAATAAAATTTGTAATAGTATGCTCCTTAGAATCCAGACTCACGTGTTAATATTTGAAAAAGGCCCATAATTCAGGAATCTGGTAACATGAATGACTTTTTATAGAATGATCCATCTTGCCCAGATGCCACAAATTTTAAGTGCAGATTTCAATAAACAATATTATATGCCAGATTCAAAGTGTGTCAACTGCCTGGTGAAAACTTAACTTTAGATAAAATCCTTAAATCTTCCGTATTCATCTTTATTTATTTATATTTATTCTATTTGTAGATAGAAATTTTCTTAGAAATTTTCTGACTATTTAATGATTATAATCTACAAATTAATTGAAATTTGCAGATAGATAACCATTAAAATAATTTCTTGAATACAAATTTTATTGACTATAATATACATCTAAAATATACTAGCTTCCTCCTTAGCCATGGTTTCACTTTTTTCAGTTATATGTGGCCAAACTGTGGTCAGAAAATATCATAGAAAAATTTCTATAAGTAACCAATGCATAAATTTTAGATTGAAATCTTGTGTTCGTGCTCTATTCTGCCCAGAATGAATGAGTCGTTCCTTTATCTATGTATCCGTTCTTTATACTTTACCTACCCCAGTACTCACCTAGTGATCATCTAGGTTATCCAATCAGCTACTGTTTGTATCATAGTGCTTATGTTCATGTAACTCTTATTTTACTTAATAGTAACACCAAATTGTGATGTTGATGATTTGGACCTGCCAAAGAGATGCCATAGAGTACTTTCTTTAAGTGAAAAAGTGAAAGTAGAATAACATTTTGAGGGAATAGAGGGGTCACATTCAAATAAGTTTTATTACAGTATATTGTTTTAATTGTTCTATTCTTTTAATTATTGTTAATCTCTTATTATGCCTTGTTTATAAATGAAAACTATATTTAATTATAAATTAAAGTTAAATTATATCATCATAAAGTAGATTTAGCAGTACTTGAATTTCAAGGGCTGGGATGTAGCTCAGTGATGGATATTACTTACAAGTGAGTTTGTATAGGGAAAAGTACAATAGCTATAAGAGGGCAGTACCATCTGAGGTTTCAGCCTTCTGAGGTTTCAAGATCCATTCAGGTATCTTGGAATGTATGTATCCTTGAAGATTATGGGGGTGGGAAGCTGCTGTATATGAACTTCTGCTTCAGGAGTAAAATTTGCAAATAACTGACTTAACCAAACACTGCTCTGAGTGCTTTATACATTTCACTTAACCTCAGAGAAACCTGGCTGAAGTAGGCTTTCTAAATTACCTCCATTTACAAATGAGAATTCTAGAATAAAGCCTAGAGTTGCTATATCACTCACTCAAGGTCACAAGGCTTGTACATAATAGAAATAGGATTAGAAATAATCTTGGCTGACTGCAGAGTTCACGTTCAACAACAATGTATATTGCTGCACTAGTTAGAAAATCAACTCTAATGTGAAGGCATAATATAGAAATGTTAAATTGTTGCACTTTTTCATCTGGTATAAAAGTGTGTCTATATGTATTTAATTTCAGAAAGAAAAAGTTTTATTTCAAATATAAAATTTCTAAAATGAGAAAATAGAAATTAGTATTGATCTAATACCTTGTTAATAAAGAAGGTATTATCATGATCCATCTAAAATTAAACTGAAAACACATTAGGTGACCCAAAAGGAACTGTATCTTAGTTAGACTGAAATGTAGAAAGCAGACTTAAGGGCTTGAATTTCAAGTACTTGAATTTCAAGGGCTGGGGCTACAGATCAGTCAAGGCACTTGCCTAGCACTGAAAGGTCCTGAATTCAATCCCCAAACTGCACCAAAAAGAAAAAAAAAAGCACTCAAATTTCAGAAAATCTAGACACAACTGATTAAAGAACACGACTTTCTGGGGGGAAAAATGCAATTGCACAGATATCTAGATGTAAAAATGTGTTGGAAATTGATTTTTTTCTTCACAAGGCTTGCTCCTTTTTGCTTCCAGTTAATATTCTTAGCCTGTGAGAGAATGTTAAAGTATTTTATTTTAACAACTTTGATGTTTCACAGCAAAATGGAGGTGTAAATTAAAGTATAGGACTTAACTAAAATGGCACCAGATTCAGAAACACAAAGAGGATTTGTGGGGGGAGGGAGGGTGCAGGACTCAGTAATGGGTCACCCAGACACATATTTCCTATTTACTTAGCACTACATCATATATTCTGCTTTATCAAATTCTCCATTATCCAATCACCTAATAACACTGACTTATAGAATTAATTTGACTAAATATGTTCCTTTTTTCCCCTGAACATATGCTGTCTTAATTCATATTAGCTAAAGCTTGTTGCCTACTTTATCATAATGATCCTGCATCTCACCAGGGGAAACATAAGAGCATATATTCTTCCTTTGTTTTATATAGCTGCATGCAGGCAGATGGCTGTCTCCTACTGTAAAGTTCAGAGTGACAGATTTAGAATATCAGTGCCTTGTGCTGGGGGAAAGCTTATGCCTCTGACTATTAATTATAAGATTAACATTTTTTAAACAGCCCCTTACTTTTTAGTGTTCTATAAAACAGTTTTATAAATAGTACAATAAAGGAGTATTTAAATGCCATACATTAAAAGCAAGAAATCTTTCATTTTATTTGATATCCTGTCTCTGTATATTCCATATATGTTTAAAGGTTAACTGTACTGAGTAAATTGCAAACCTAGAAATAAAAATGAGAGGTTTAACTAGGTGTTTTGTCTTGTTAAAATAAAAGAGACAGCTTTGATGTCTTTGTTTTTACCATAACTAGAATATATTTAAGAGGCATATTAGAGTAGATTGAATTTATTTATTAACTCTCAATCAGGTGGCTGAATATCAGGCATTCCAGAGCCAACAAAGGGGAGAAACAGAACATTAGTGAGGCTCCTGTAACAGCAATC